GTATGATCTTAACAAAGGCATTGTGATCCATCCATCTTCTCGTATAGTTGACATCAATCCTCAGTATAAACTACAGACAAATGAACCTTTCATCTTAGCAAGTCAAGCCCAACAAGTGTTCTACACTTCTTATCCTTCTAAAAATCCGCGCAGGAAAGGGTGGTATGCTGCTTGTAAGATTAGGGCAAGAGCGATAATTGACACTTTATCTCTGGGTAATTGTGTAAATAATTATTATCAGGATGATGATCCTCTTATGCCGCAATTAGTGCAACCCTTAACTATTGTGGATGATCATGTTCCGCTAGCATCTTCGAGAGGAGCACGAGTGGTTATTGGTGAGGACTTGCAATTATCTGATTCGGCTGCACAAAATGAGGAAGAATGTGTGGATGAGGATGATGAGGAAGAGGACGAGTTTGAGGGGACAGAAACACCAGAAGAAGAAGTTCCAGATTACTTTACCGAGAATGATAGTGATTAGCTGTATTTTGTTTGATCTTTTTCTTGAACTGAACAAATGATAGATGACCATTTATATTTTGTTTGTATAACTAAAGTATGACATATTTTGCATATTATATTATATTTATATAATCTACATATATATTTTGTTTATATTAATAGATATTTAAATTTATACTTATATTTTATGTTAATTTTATGGATAAAGATGGGTACACCCACCGGTTCAACATCGGTGGGTGCACATTCTATAAAATAAAGTTTTTTCTGTATAAACCAAGGATAAAATTACAAATTTAACCTTCCTCCTCTTTTTCTTCCATCATCCTCTAATCACCATTCTTACCCATCATCTCCGATCTTCATCATCCTCCACCTTCATCACCGATCATTCTTCTTCATCATCAATCACCCATCTCTAATCTTCATCACCTTCATCACCGATCATTCTTCTTCTTTCCCTCACCTCTTTCTTTCTTCTTCTTTTTTTTTTCTCTTTCTTGGTGGAGAACCCAGCTCGAGTTCTCACCAGAGAACCCAGCTCGGTGGGAACCCGACCTAGGTTCTTGAGAACCCGAGTTGGGTTCTCTGGTGAGAACCCGAACTGGGTTCTTGAGAACCCAGCTCGGTGGGAACCCAACCTGGGTTCTTGAGAACCCGAGCTAGGTTCTCTGGTGAGAACCCGAGTTGGGTTCTTGAGAACGCAGATCTGGGTTCTCAAAGAACCCAGCTCGGGTTCTCAC